TCCCACAATTCCTAACACCTGGTAAACAGGCTGGGATTTCAGGGAGTTGAAGTCTAAAACACTTGGAGGCCCAAAGATTTGGGCTCCACTGATCTAGACCAAGTCTAACAACTGCATCTTCACTCATAAGGTCATTGGCTGCAATGGCTCCACACTTTTTTACTCTGATTGTGGCTCCTGAGTTTCAGCACAGCCTTGGATAGCAACCTAGGGGCAGCTACTTTGAAATAGCTCCATTCCTCACTTCTGGGTGAGTACAGCACAGACAAAAGATGGAACCCAACTCCAACAAAACTGGTTATAGCTCTGGTATAGATTTCAGTGATTTCTCAATGGCTTGTAGGCTGAACCAGCTTCTCAAAATCTGGTCTTTTAAATATTTTAGACTTCCTCTCCCAAAATTCAAGCTGGCCAGAGCTTTTTGTGAATTGAAGCCCAAAATACCAGTAGAGCCAAATTTATAGAAACCTGAATGCAAATTTCATTAGTGGACGTTACTTCAGCGTAGATATTCCAAGGACAGCTGCCCTTGGCTGATGTCTAGATTTAGAGCATGCATCCTCCCAAGCAAGTTCCACTTAATTCAATGAGACCTGGAGAATAAAGGTATTAATGACAATGACTTTTTAAAGGGACTCTTTAAAACTGGAGCAGTTTTCTCACAAGTTGAGAAAGATAAAGTTTTCATGCTGGCCCACCCATCCCCATTCTTTTTTAAAATGGGAGATGGGGACTCTGGGGTGTGTTTATGAATGTGCATCAATATTAATTAAACTTTTAATATAACATGATAGCTGGTGAACAGTGAAGTGTAGCCATGGGTAATGCAGAATCACATTTTAATCTAAATCCTATTGATTAATCCCAATTAATCATTGAATCAAGTAGGTAAGTCCAATTGGTTCTATCTTATCCCAGGTTTTCTGTTTATCCCAGATGATCTGGCAGTGTGGACCCATATAATCCAGTTTAAAGCAGAAAACCTGGGAACAGATCCTGGGATATAGGGCCTGTCTGGAAGGACCCTGAATCTACTGTAGTTAGAACTAACCAAGAGGAGTCACTTCCTTGTCTCAGGAGGCTGCAAAGCATACCACCAATATTCAACATCAGTCTCCCAGTGAGTGGCCTCCATATCAGGCATACTTCACAGAAGATATCCATGGTGCTAGGTCTATTTTAGGTAAGCTACCTCCCATCTGCAGCCTGAACTCTGGCCTATTTAAAAGATGTTTGGTAATAACTATTGTAGTGAAGTACTGTGGCCCTATGTGTAAATGTCTGGTTGATGTTAGATCCAAATACACAGAGGGAGGGAGGGAGAAAGAAGTGAGGCATTTGGTGACTAATTGCATGACATCCTGGCCTTCAGCAGTTTGGCCCTGATCCAATAAGTACATCAATTGCACCCAGGCAAACTGAAACCAGTGGTGTGACTGTTGTTATTGCTGCTGCCTTGTTTTGTTTTGTTTTGCCTTTTGCTTTAATCTGGATTGAGTGTAGCCCACACATTAAAGCAGTTTGCTATGAAAAATTCAAAGATGGCCAAAAAAGTGAACACAGCCTCCCATCTTACAAACACAGGCTTATGGAATTAGTTACAAATTTCTTTGGAACTGGGCCATAAATTGGAAAGCAAGTCCAACTAAAAGAAGTGGAGTACTGCCAAGCACAGTAATACATTGGAAGGGAAAGTTTAAGACAGGCAGCAACTGATAAAATAATATTAATGGGTCACTGAAAGTCATAGGTAAAGAAAGTGGTGTAATAAAATGCATATTTTAATATATTTACATTACTTAATCCAGCCCACTGACCCATTTCCTTATCCCACTTTAATGAAATCCACCCTGGATAGTATGCTGAAGGGTGTTATAGAAGTTACATTTAAAACACATACATTTTGATTTGGCTGGTGTTTACTTAGGAGTGAATTCTGCCAGGGAATTAGTGCAATAAGTCCCACTAAATGTCCCCCTGTGGACATGATTCTTAATTCTATTTATGGTGCAACCTTGGGCATGTTTACTTGATAGACACTGAACCAGGGATGAAAGAAATGTACCTCTGACCAAATATAAGCAGATCTGAAACATGAAGGTGCAATTATATGCATTTTTAAAGAAGGAAGTTCATATATTGTCTAAGACTTTCATGGCTGGTATCTTTGGGTTGTTGTAGGTTTTTCAGGCTATATGGCCATGTTCCACAAGCATTCTTTCCTGACGCTTCACCTGCATCTATGGCAAGCATCCTCAGAAGTTGTGAGGTCACAACCTCTGAGGATGCTTGCCATAGATGCAGGCGAAATGTCAGGAGAGAATGCTTCTAGAATATGGCCATATAGCCTGAAAAACCTACAACAACCCAGAAGTTCATATAGTTTTGTGGACTCAACTTAAACGTCTTTAGAAGTAGGGTGTGAAGCTGCAGTTCACTACATAATTATATGGCAATGGGTCACCTGGAAAGCAGTAAGAGGTAAATAGAAACCTAGATCTTCTGCATACTCATTCAGGAATAGGCTAGAAAAAGCATCACCTCCCTGAATAATACATTATTTTTATAAGAAGACCAATATTTCATATGCTTTTTGGTAGGTCCCCGCAATACTCTGCTTCAATCAAAAGAGATTCTTCATTTTATGTCTTTCACTGAGTCAAGGACATGTGTGTGTAGGCAAAACTTAAGACCCAAACCATTTGTATAAATAGTTCTTTAATCAGAGGCAGCAAAAATGGACGAAACAAAATCATTGGCAAAGTCTAGAAAACATCTCAGGTAACAACAGACAATGACAGTTGCACAATGCGGGTTTGACCACAAAGGTCAAGGGAGCATACAAGGTTGGATCTGTAATGAGGAAGGTATTCCAGCCCCCCTCCCTGCTTTGTAGCAGGGCAGTTACAGCTAAATTAAGAACCATCACTGCTACCACCATCATCCTTGAAAGAGAAGGGAGTGTGGGGCTTGTTCGGTTCATTTCTGACCAAATGTTCCCATCTCCAACCCCATCAAATAAGAAATCCTTTGATACCTTGCCACTTCCATCATTCTCTTTCAAGGGGTGACTCAACATAAATGCAACCAGTATACCAGGATTTAAGACACCCCCCTTCCCACCCACTCACTCTCCCCAAACCCTGTTCAAAGGAGACTCCTCCCCTCCAACAAGACTTTAAGAGTTTGAACCAAACATTTGTCCAAGAGGACATTAACATTACAAAAGGACTTTGGGCCAGTTCTGTTGTCTTCACACATTCTGGATTCACGTCCTTTAAGTGGGGAGCCATGAATTACAACCCTGAAGTCAAATGTGTGCCATTGGCAGGCCCATTCAAAGGCATGTTTACTCGGAAGTAAGTGACACTGGGTTCAAGAGGGGGGTGATGTCCTTCTAAGCATACTTGTAACCTCCCAGCTCTCTGATCCAACCTTAAGCTGCCATCTTCTCCCATTTGTTGCTGTTGTCACAGTGTGTGTTCCAACTTATGGGGAACTTAAGGCTAACCTATCTTGTAAAGATTTATTCAGATGGGGTTTAGCTGTCTCTTTATCTGAGGATGAGAGAGTGTGATGTGCCCAAGGTCACCCACTGGGTTTCCTGGTGATAGGGGCATTTGAACCCTAGTCTCCAGAGTTGTAGTCCAATACTCAAACCACCACAACTGTGCTGATTCATTTCCACATTTTCTGTGGTGTGCTAACTATTAAAATTAAACTGGATCTACACTGCCATATAATGCAGTTTCAGAATGCAGATTAACTACTTTGAAGTACACTCATATAATCCAGTGTAATGCAATTAATCTGCGTTATGGACCTGCATAATATGGTATAGTACAGGCATGAGCAAACTTTGGCCCTCCAGGTGTTTTGGACTTCGACTCCCACAATTCCTAATGGCTGTTTGGAATTGTGTGATTTGAAGTCCAAAATACCTGGAGGGTCTAAGTTTGCTCATGCCTGGTATAGAAGATCCAGCCCTAGAGGATTTTGACTGAACAAATACACATTAGGATTGGGTTGCTGTGGGTTTTTCGGACTGTAGTTACCAATATACCTCACAACCTCTAAGGGTGCCTGTCATAGATGTGGACGAAACGTCAGGAGAGAATGCTTCTGGAACATGGCTATACACCCCGGAAAACTCACAGCAACCCAGTGATTCTGGCCTTCAACAAACACATTAGGATTATTAGAGGGCAGCTCTGTTGAAGCCATGACTTCCTATTAGGAAGGTTTATATGGCAAAAATGCAACATACAGACACACACACTCCTCTCCTTTGTTTGATCATCTCCCTAGCCACTTTCTGTGATATTAAGGATTGGGTTGCTGTACGTTTTTTTGACTGTATGGCCATGTTCGAGAAGCATTCTTTCTTGACGTTTCACCCACATCTATGACAGGCATCCTCAGAGGTTGAGGGGTTTTTCGGACTATATGGCCATGTTCCAGAGGCATTCTTTCCTGACATTTCGCCTGCATCTATGTCAGGCATCCTCAGCAACCCAGTGATTCTGACCATGAAAGCCTTTGACAATATAGTAAGGATTATTATCACTCTATGGAGTGATGATAATCTCTTCTTCTTCCTCCTCCTTCCTCCAACTGGCCATCGAAGTGCGAAGCAATGCCCCATTGAACTCAGGACTACTTGTGAACCTAGTGGGACAAGACCAGACATTTACTGGCTTCTTCCCTTAAGGACTGGCCTCTGAACCAGGCTACTAGTGAGGACTGGGCTGTGGAAGGGAAGCCGGGGCTCCTGGCCAAGGCCCGAGGACTTCCTGTCCAAAACCACACGTGCAGCCAAGTGGGATGCCAATGACTGGAGGCCCAGGCCTTAAGTCAACAATGGCCGCCTTCCTCCTCCCCCTGCCTAAACCAAACTAATCCCAAAGCTTCTGTTGAGACGAGGATCTGGGAAGGAGCAAAGGGAAATGTGAGCCTTGGGAAAGCGGGGGATGTGAGCGGCGGGGGGGGGGGGGGGGGGGGGGGGGGGGGGGGGGGGGGGGGAGCTTAGGATTGTAGCCTCAAGAACTGGAGGCCCTGCGTTTCTTTTACAAAAAAAAAGAGGCAGGGGGACTCTTCTAGGTCCAAGAGGTTAAGGGTTTAGAGGTCATTCCTCCCGGGCTGAAATGCGGGCGAACGGAATAGAAAAACGTGTCCTCTGGATGAACCTGTTTCTCCAATTTAGCCGAACTTCAGTGGAAAAGAAGTGGGAGAGGGAGAAGGAATGAAGCTTTTCAGCCTCTCGACGTGAAGGCGTCAAGGAAGAAGACGCCTTCACTCTGGATGAACCCGGGCGAATATTTTTTTTGTCCTGTAGACAATGACGCGGATCAGACAGGAATATCCATCTTTCTATATCAGGATGGGCAGATATTCAGGGGCCTGAGAAGTGGGGCTCTTGGTTCCCAAGGGGGAAAGAGAGGCAGAACAAAGAAGGGGGCCTGGGACCAGGCACAAAGAGCCTCGTGGCTTTCCAGGGTCCCGATCCCAGAGAGCCTTGCAAGCCTTCTCTCCTGGTCGCCCAAAAGAAGCACGCTCAGTCCAGGGGCAAAAGAACGGTTTCCCACTCCCCGTGGGATGGGTTCCCGGAAATTGAAATATATTACGGGGCAGAGAGAGCTCTGCTAGCCAGGAGACCAATCCCAACATTCAAGACAATCTAGTTAAGACTTCATGAAGGCTATGATAAAATAAAAATTGCGAGAGGGATCTCAGCTAGGGTATAGCAGAGACAAATCTCACCTCTTCTCTCTCTCTCTCTCTCTCTCTATTTCTAGTCATACTTTTTGTGAAAACATTCCATTGCTATGAGGCAGAGATCCTCCAGTTTGAGAAATTCCCAAAAATTCCTTCAAAATGCAACCAGCATGGATATTATGCGCCCTTCTACACAGCCCTATATCCCAGAATATCAAGGCAGAAAATCCCATATTATCTGAGTGTGAACTCAAATAACCCAGTTCAAAGCAGATATTGTGGGATTTTCTGCCTTGATATTCTGAGATATAGAGCTGTGTGGAAAGCTTCCCAGAACATCAAGGCCGAAAATCCCACAATATCTGCTTTGAACTGGGTTATCTGAGTCCACACTGCCATGTATCCCAGTTCAAAGCAGATAATGCGGGATTTTATTCATCTGTGTGGAAGGGACCTTACTTCCGAGTAAACCTACCTAAGCATGTATTGGAAATGTAAGAGGGGGAGGTGGGCTGAATGATAATATATACGAGTCCAGTCTGTTATTAGTTGTCCTTCCTATCCCCATGGATGCGGCTTAGGTGTACTGCTTTCCTGCCTCCGAAGTGTGAATGAAAGGAGCTGCCTTTCCAATCTCTTTTATGTCCTAACATTATCGAGTTACATTCTCTACATCCAAACCATTTCTCCTTTAAAATAATCCGAACCAAAACATAACGGTTTGGAAAACAGGAATGGATAGTTCATCCCGATCTGGTCTTTCCCTTAAAATGCCCTTCAAATATATCCAATTTTCCCCCCTTTGGCTTTTAATCAAAGAAATCAAGGATCTTTCCATCCAAATCAATAGTTTTCGTTTCCTTTTTCGACTAAATCAGCACATTTTGAATCCAGATATGATAAAAGAAAGCACATCATATCACCTCGCTGAGTACAAAAACCATATCCTCTGGTGTCACAAAATCCTTGTAATGTTCGCTGTTTTTGTTTCTCTCTCTCTCTCTTGTTTTGTTTGTTTACAATCTGTTTTAATATTTGCCCACCCTTTTCCCACTGGCTCCAAATACAAGGTATGAATGAAAAGGAAAAGGTTTTGAGTCCATTTAATTTCAAAAGGATATCAGATTTCCCCCTCATCTCTAAATCCTAGAAAGAACGTGTTTTTGCTATGTACAGAAGATGCCCAAAACGAGGAATTGGAAGGGAAGAGGGACCATTATTATTTGATTAAACTGTTCACACACCAAATCAGAGCCAGCTTTGTAGGAGTGGGGAGGGAGAAGACTCTATTTTTACCCTCTTTGGGGGGTTTATTTTGGTTTTGGTTTCTAACGTTCCCCCAACAAACAAACAAATAAATAAATATACTAACACAATTTTTAAAAAACACAATTAAAACAACCCGTTTCATTTCCTTTTTTAAAAAATTCTGAAAAGTCAGAGGAAGGGGAGGGGACCCTTCGGCGTTTTTCGTCAATCATTCCCAAAGATTTCGCTTTGGGACTTACCCAAAAAGGACAAACCCCCGAAGAGTATCTGGAAGTGGGGCCAAAACCAGAGAAAAATAGGTACATAATAACCACCCCAAGTTTCCACTTGTAGATTGCAGCTGCAACACCAGCAAGAGCACGTTTGTTGTGTGTCTGTCCACTGAGTTTTATTTAAAAATAATTCTCTTTTATAGCTATATAGATATATTTATATCACTTTCTCACCACCTGGATGCAGTTTGTTGGTTGCTTTGATTGGTTGTCCGTTCCTGCTGTTGAGCAAGATGCCTAGGAAGGAAGGAAGGAGGGAAGGAGGGAAGGAAGGAAGACGACAACCCCCGTTGGGTTGGTCTCCAGTACCTTAACGCCGGGTGAGGACCCTTCGGGAGTTGTGGTCCCGGTGTGGACGCAGCTCGAGAGGAGCCCACGAGGGAAGAGGGTCCTTCCCCTCAATCCTTGCCGCCTGAGTCTCCTCGTGCCTGTCCCCTTTAGATCCGAACCGAGGAAGCGGACCCCAGGATCTTACAAAGTCGTCAAGTCCACCTGACGGTCCTTGGACACGGTCTGTAGGTGTTGGCCGGGGACCGAGGTTGGAGCCGAGGAGGAAGAGGAGGAGGAAGAGCGGCCCTTGGTGTTGGGGAGCTTGTGGTCCTTCTTCCACTTCATGCGCCGGTTCTGGAACCAGATCTTGATCTGCCGCTCGGAGAGGCACAAGGTGTGGGCGATCTCGATCCGGCGGCGCCTGGTCAGGTACCGGTTGAAGTGGAACTCCTTCTCCAGCTCCAGCACCTGCTGCCGCGTGTAGGCGGTCCGGGAGCGCTTCGGTTCTCCTCCGGTGTAATTCGGATTCACTGCGCGGAGGGGGGGGGAGGGGAGGGGGGGGAGATAAAACATTACAACCTTCATCACCAGCCTCCCCCACAGCCCACGCACCCCAGAAAGGAGGGCTGGATCTACACTGCTTTATAGGGTCGGTGTAGAAACATGTAAATGCAGTTCGAACTGCATTATTATATAATAGAATATAGATTATAAATAAAATATGATATATATTATATAATGCAGCCATTATATATATATATATATAGAAATAAAATAAAATAATATATATTATATAAATACTAATATGATATAGTGTATATAATATGATATAAGATAGTATTATATAATATTATAATATATATTATTTTATTATATATGATAAAAGGTAAAGGTGTTATATATATATAATGCAGCCTATACAATATAATAAAATATAATATACTAAAATAAAATAAAAATAATATATAACATATATAATATAAATACTAATATAATATGATATAATGTATATAATATGATATAAGATAGTATTGTATAATATATTATGATATTTATTATTTTATTATATATAATATAATATCAAATTATATTACACTATATCATACTATATTAGTATTTATATTATATTATATTATGTATAAGGTATTTTCAACTGTATCTTCTGGTTCTACACTGACCATCTAATCCAGTTCGAACTGCATTAGATGGTAGTGCAATCCAGCCAAAGCTTGACTCTCCCAATGAGCCCCATTTTCCACTCTGTAAACACCACTGCTAAGAACAGATGGGCACCGTGTATGTATCCCTTTCTCCTCCCTCCTTCTTTCCTAGGGGTGAGTCTCCCCAGCATCTTTCTTTGGGAGACACTGGAGCGAGCCCTCAGCCTGCATCCCTCTGAAGCATCATCTCTTCTTTCTGCTCCAAGCCACATGGCCGTGGGGCCTGTGTCCTCGGCCACAGACCCTGAGGGGCTCCCTGGGCTTCACCCCGTCTCCTGGCGGGGATCTCGGAGGGGTGGGGAGGGAGAAAGGGGGAGAGGGATAGCGGGAAGCGATGCTCACCCGAGTTCACGTGGACTTTCTTCATCCAGGGATAAACCACCGCGGGCTGCTTCAGGGCCGCCGGGGACCCGTTGGGGGGGCTTTTGAGGCCGGGCTGCTGCTGCTGCTGCCCGCAGGGCCTGGCAGGCTCCGAGAAGGGCCCCTGCGGCCGAGGCTGCTCCTGCCCGTGACCCCGAGGCGGAGGCGGAGGAGGAGGAGGAGGTCCCCCGGCCGGTCCCGGGGCATCTCCGCCGCACCCGAAGGGCTGCTCTCCGTAGTTGGGCCGCGGGTAGATGCCCTGGTGCTGGAAGGCCGGCGGGCCCGGCGGCGGGGCTGCCGAGTAGTAGTCCGAGGCGCCCTGCTCGCCCAGGTAGCTGCTCTGCAAGTACTCCTCGCAGGGCGGGAATTTGGGGTCCACGTACTTCGAGTTCACCATGTACGAACTCATGGCCATTAATTTCGGGGAGGTGGAAAATACTAATTTTTTTCTCCCTCTCGTGTTGTCTTTTTTTTTCTCCCCCCTTCCCCACAAAGCCCTCCTACTTGCTGTCAACTGAATAAAGTTGGCCGCCCACGTGACCCGCGCAGCCAATGGCGAGGCGGGGAGGGTGATCACCGGATTTCGTGTGTGTACCTCATAATTTCCACAAATTTCTCTAAATAATATAAGGGGGGAAGAGGGGGGAGGACACCCGCGTGCGGTCATGCGTGGTGCCTCCCCGAAGAGGAAGAAGAGGTAGCAATGGTTTGCTCCCAACCGCGGATGGCCGGCTCCTTGGGACAACTCCCACAGCCCCATCCGCCCTCCAGCCCCCCAAGCCAAGCCAAGCCCCCACCCCAGGTAAATCAACGCCTATTGTCTCCATTGACTTTGCTAACCTCTGGTGCCTTGTAGTTTCAATGGTGGCTATATTTCGGGCCAAGGAAAGCCAACGCCGTGAAGACAGAGGAATGGAGCAAGCATGAACTCTCAGGGCAAGGAGAGGGGACCAGGAAGAGGAGGAGGAGGCGACCTCAAACAAGGGGAGGGGGGCGAGGTACAATGGATCTGCCTTGCCTTTGTTTGGTCGGGGTCAACCAAAAGTTACCCAGGATCTCGCTGGGCAGAATAAAAAATAATCAGGCAATGAGTAACTTGGGTGGATTTTTACCCGGGAATGAGGACAACAAAGATCTTGTTTCAAAACAACTAACCCTACCGTTCAGATGGCAAGGAGCTGTCCGGAGAATTATGAAGTTCAACTATTATCTCATATATATATATATATAGAGAGAGAGAGAGAGAGAGAAGAGAAGTGAAGAGAAGAGAAGAGAGAGAAGAGGAAGAGAGATAATATATATATAGAGAGAGAGAGAGAGAGAAGAGAAGAGAAGAGAGAGAAGAGGGAGAGAGATCATATATATATATATAGAGAGAGAGAATATATATATATATATAGAGAGAGAGAGAGAGAGAGAGAGTATATATTACACACACGTGTATAGTGGGTTATTGTGAGTTTTCAGGGCTGTATGGCCATATTCCAGAAGCATTCTCTCCTGACGTTTAGCCTGCATCGATCTATGCCAGGCACCTTCACAATCTTGTTTCATACTTGCCTCAAACAGTCAAGAGTTCTTTCTCCCAACCTAGACTTTCACCAGATATATAAATCCCACTCGCCTAGACTTCACAACCTCTGAGGATTCCTGCCATAGATGCAGGCGAAAGGTCAGGAGAGAATGCTTCTGGAACATGGCCATACAGCCCGGAAAACTCACAGCAACCCAGTGATTCCAGCCATGAAAGCCTTCGACAATACATTATACAGATATAGATATATAGATATAGATAAGGTGAACTTCATAACTCTCTGGAGAGAGAGAGATATGAGAATGACATCCTATTTGTATTAGATCATTCCAATATTCAGTTGCCCCTTGCCTTCATCCCAGGAGCTGTAAATCGATACTATTGTTCCCAACGTTTTGCATAAACATCTGAGGAAAAAATCAGAACATTGGAAAGTGTGTAGTTTAGCCATCTTTTTTCACTACTATTATAATTGCCGTCATCTAGAATAATACACCTATTTGTTCTATTATTATTATTATTATTATTATTACCACCACCATTATTATCAACATTGTTGTTGTAGGAAGGCATTTATCTGCACAGCTCGCGATTTCCCCCCAGGTTCTTTGTGCTGATAATTATATGTCTATGGACAAGTTTATGATGGGATGCATGACTAAACAACAGAGAAGGCGCTGTGACGAACTGTCCCCACATCCCGGCTCTGGAAAACACAGCATCCAGCATCCGCATCTCTCTTTCTTTGGATTTCTTCTACCTGTGCAACTTCTAACCATTTGCAGAAAGGTGAAGTTTTTGCATCGACCATATATTCCCCTAGAATCGAATCTGTGACTGTGTAAATACCACACAAATTCGGTTCTACAGGGTATATATAGACAACGTAATAACATTCTGTGTGTCATCTGACTCAAGGTGACAAAAGGCAGCGTCTCTGCAATGTCCGGATCCCTTTGGTTTTCTTCCGAGGAATCCATACTATTTTCTGTTGGGGCAAAAGTCTGGGATCATGGGTGGAAAACAAAAATGGGATGATTTCACGAGAGAAGATCCCGCTTCCCACCACCACATATCCCCAAACCACCGGAAAATACTAATACTAATAATATAAAAGTCCCCAGACAAATGTATTATGATCGTTATGAATATCTCCGTCCGACGGATTGGTGATCTTTGAAGTGACAAATGCTACGGATGTGTTTCGGCACTTAAAGGGCTCTGGAGGAAATGGGATGGCCTTTAACGTTTGTAATGATAGATGATGGTTGCACACAAGAATATGGGGTGTTTTTTCATTGATTTTACTTTTTAAATAATAGTATAAATAGTGGTGGTATTAATAATACTAATAAGATCCAAATATTGTTGCAATTTAAAATAAAAACACTGCGAAAGGATTGGATTGCTGTGAGTTTTCGAGACTGTATGGCCATGTTCGCGAAGCATTCTTTCCTGACGTTTTGCCCACATCAATGACAGGCACCCTCAGAGGTTGAGGGACCCCACGCCCAATGTTTATTTTAAATTTTAATCTATTACATCTGGCCCGGCCATAGGTTTTTAAAATTTGTGTGTGTTATTACCTATATGTGATTTATATTACATAGTAATATTGTTTTATTTGCTTATTGCTTTGTTGTTTTACTGATGTGTTGTTGGGCTTGGCCTCATGTAAGCCGCCCTTGGGAGATGGTAGTGGGGTATAAATAAAGTATTATTATTATTATTATTCCTGTCATTGATGTGGGCAAAATGTCAGGAGAGAATGCTTCTCGAACATAGCCATACAGCCCAGAAAACTCACAACAACCCAGTGATTCCGGCCATTGTTGATCTTGGCCTCATGTAAGCAGCCCGGAGTCTCCTTGGGAGATGGTGGCGGGGTATAAATAAAGTATTATTATTATTATTATGCCTGTCATTGATGTGGGCAAAACGTCAGGAGATAATGCTTCTTGAACATAGTCATACAGCCCGGAAAACTCGCAACAACCCAGTGATTCCGGCCATGAAAGCCTTCGACAACACTGCAAAAGGATGGACTCTCACTACAAAAATCTTTAAAAATTAATGTCTTGACTTTTGATGCCTAATAGGGAAAACTATCTGAGTCTTGTAACCCTTCTCGGTTTTTCGGATAGTGGCGTTTATGGTGAAGGGCAGGGCGGGAGGTCATTCTAAATCATTGACAAACAAATCCCAGAGTTTCATTATTTCTGCGTTGTCGACAGCAACAGACTGGAGTCCAAAAGTTCATGTATTGTGAGTGACCCGGTCTTGTTGTCAATCCCCTCCCTTTCTCTCTCTCTCTCTCTCTTGCTCCTTCCCTCCACTTTTCTAACCAACGACAGAGAATAGGGGTTTTGATATCTGTGGAGAGCATCAAACACCCTGAGTCATTGCTTTCCCAAAAAGAGAAGTGCTCTTTTTCTTGGGTTTGGGGGGAGGGCTTCTATTTCAAAAAAGGTGGTCTTCTTATAGTGGAAAGAGGCGATCAAACCGATCATTAGATTCACTCCATCCCTCTTTTCTGAGCTGCTTAGTAAAGAAGCCTTCTCTTATCTTTCCTTTTCTTACTTTCTTTTTTTTTGTAAAGCATTATAATTCCTTAGTAGCTGTCCCCTGCCACGCCAGTCTGTGTATATGTGTTTTGTGTGTGTATATGTGTGTGTGTATTTGTGTATATATGGGTATTTCCGTATATATGTGTGTATGGTTTTGTGCATGTGTTATAATGTCATTTTTGGGTTTTTTTTGGCTCTTAAGTCTCTTCTGCTGTCTTTTTCAGTGTTTTTATGAGTGATGGTCACCCATTGGCCTGATAGGTGTATTGTGTCCAAATTTGGTGTCAATTCGTCCAGTGGTTTTTGAGTTATGCTAATCCCACAAACGTACATTACATTCTTATTTATTTAGACTAACTGTACCCGTCCTTCCCTCTTTCTCTCCTTCTTTCCCTCCTTCCTTCACTCCCTCTCTCCTTCCTTCCTTCCTTCCTTCCTTCCTTCCTTCCTTCCTTCCTTCCTTCCTTCCTTCCTTCCTTCCTGTCTGTCCTTCTCTTCTTCCTTCCTTCTCTATCTCTTTCCTTCCTTCCCCCTTTTTCTTTCCCTCCCTCTTTCTCTCCTTTCTTCCTTCTCTACTTCTTTCCTTCCTTCTCTCTTTGCTTCCATGCTTCCTTAGCCCTTTCCTTCTTTCTTTCTTTCTTTCCCTCCCTCTTTCTTTTCTTTCTTGCTTTCTTTGTTTTTTTTTCTCCCCTTCCCTCCCTCTTTCTTTCCTTTTTTTCTGTATTGTCGTTTAGCTTTTCGTCATTTAGCTCTTTGGGGCTTTTAAAGTCCCTTCTGCTGTGTTTTTCGATGTTTTTATGAGTGAAGGACATACATTGGGTTGTTAGGTGTCTTGTGTCCAAATTTGGTGTCAATTCCCCCAGTGGTTTTTGAGTTCTGTTAATCCCACAAACGAGCATTACATTTTTATTTATATAGATTATAGTTCCTTCCACACAGCTGAACAAAATCCCACATTATCTGCTTTGAACTGGAATATAGGGCAGTATGGACTCAGATAAGCCAGTTCAAAGCAGATCTTGTGGGATTTTCTGCCTTGATATTCTGAGATATAGGGCTGTGTGGAAAGGGCCTTCCTTGTCTTGCTGCTTTTGGTTAATCAGTCTTCAAACACTAAACACTTTAGCAGCCAGTTCTACAGAAAATCTGTTTCTTTTCGCCTTTTGAAAGAAGAGGTAAAAGCACAGGATAGAAGCCAAAGAGTGGAGCGAGAGATCTCTCCCAGATATTTCCAGCAATAGCACAAATTTTCATATTTGTTAGACGCGGTGACCTGCGTTTCACCTTTATCGGGAGACTTGTTCAGACAGGTCAAAGCCAAAGGAGTTATTGATGAACAAAAGCGTTAAATATTCACCTCCTGCTCAACTGCCCATACAAATTCTTTTGATCCAGCAGGCCTTTTTGTGCTCTGGTTCATACTCAAGCTAAGTTTAAGGAAGATTTTGCCCCCTTTTTAAAAAAAGAGAAAAGAAAGAAAGAGAAGAACAGAATGGGAAATCAAAGAAAAGGAGAAAGGCAGCCTTGTTTCTTGAAAAAGGATTCAAGAGCCCGCCAGAAACCTGAGCAAAAGAGCTCTCCAAAACACAAGGAAATGTACCTCCTCCAGTTTAGTGCTTACTTTAGAGTGATCAGAATGCCATACACACAAACAATATAATTTCAATTTTATACAGAACGATGCAAAATATTGGCCTTGGATTTAAACAAAGCAAAATCCATTTCACAAAGAGAGAGGAAAGGGTGAAGGAGACATTAAGTCGACACAAAATACGTTTAGAGGTTCAGTCACCCAAATTATTTGCATCTTCCAGGAACGTAAGACATTATACGCTAAAATACATCAAAACATTGAATAGTGTCATAGTAGTTACACAAATAGGTGGTGCAAAAACCATGTAATAAATAAATCATCGCCTTTTTTCCGTTCCTTTTTTCGTTCCTTTGTTCAGATTAAGGCATCTCTGTCGCCTCTCCTTATCACAAACCTAAGATGCAATTGAACCATTCCCACTCCGTTCAAATGGTCACATTATCCTCTTTTCCTGTTGTGATGCGAATAAATAAATGTCAGCTTCTGTCTTGGGGGACACTTACACCAAATGCCACCAAATCATTACACGCTAAGCAATAGCATCACCTCATCATCTCGACTGGGGCTGGATCTACACTGCCCTATAAGTCCCACATAATACATAATATAATATAATTCCACATAATGCAGCTCAATGCAGTTCAAACTGCGTTGTATGGTATGATTCGAAGAGCCCTTCCACACAGCCCTATTTCCCAGAATATAGGCAGAAAATCCCACAATATTTGCTTTGAACTGGGTTATCTGAGTCCATACATTAATCCCACATTATCTGAATATGGACTCAGATAACTCAGTTCAAAGCAAATATTGTGAGTTTTCTGCCTTGATATTCTGTGTGGAAGGGCCCCAATATGACAGTGTAATGCAGTTAAAACTGGATTATATGGCAAAGTAGATCCAGCCTTAATCTCAAACAGGAATATGTGTCATCGTTGACAACCAGGAAGGAAACAAATTGGTTTAGGCAGAAGGAAGGAGCTAATCAAAAATTTTAAGGACCACCACGCCTTATTGGAATATCAGTTCACCCTTCAAAGGCTGTGCAGACAATCCAAAAATATCAAAGGGACATATCAATGAAGCCAAAGGCCCTGAGCATTTATTTTCTGGGGCGAATGCGTCATAGCCTTCTCCTGTTCAGGGGGCTCATCCTGCTCCTGAGCTGGAAAGGCCTGAGGAGGAGGCAGAACATGACACCTGGCACCTGTGCAGCCCTGTAATGCCCCTCCTTGGAAAGTGTACCATCAGCCTTTGCTGCCATTTGCCAACATACACGTGGAGGACGGCGAGGAGGAGGGAAGAAAGTAAAACCGAAGCCCCAGGACAAAAAAGCCTCAGAGAAACACACCAAGAATGAACGACCTCTTCCTACGACGTCAGCCACTCAAGGTAATGCTTGAAAACCACCACAGTATAGAGATAAATGCATATATTTTGCAAGGAGGAAAAATGTACTTACTGTAGGCGTCCTTCCATTGTCCCGAACCTGTTGCAATTAAAAAGAGAGAGAAAGAAGATGAAGAAACCTGTCACTAATATTATTCCACTTTCTGTATTGATTCTATTGAACAGTATTGCCCTCTTCCTTCTGTATCCCTGCTGAGTACACAAGGCTGCATTAAAGAGGAAAGTTAGCATACCTTTTCTGACAAATGATTATTATTTTATTAGTTTTTCCTTATTATTATTATTATTATTAGATAGATAGATAGATAGATAGATAGATAGATAGATAGATAGATAGATAGATAGATAGATAGATAGATAGATAGATAGATAGATAGAGATAGGTAGATAGGAATCAGAGTTAAATCTTTTAGCCCAGAGCATAGATATATTGGATAGATCTTTTGGACTATCATTTTCTAGGTTGCTGCGAGTTTTCCGGGCTGTATGGCCATGTTCCAGAAGCATTCTCTCCTGACGTTTCACCCACATCTATGGCAGGCATCCTCAGGGTTGTGAGGTTACCTCTGAAGATGCCTACCATAGATGCGGGCAAAACGTCAGGAGAGAATGCATTTGGAATATGACCAAACAGCCCGGAAAACTCACAGCAACCCAGTTATTCCGGCCAGGAAAGCCTTCGAAAGCATATCAGTTTCTACTTTGTATTTGTATAAGGAAATATACAGCTTTGAGTATTGAGTATCTTGCTTATGGAAGAAGACGCCATGTGTGTGTGTGTGTATAAAAATATAAATATATATACACACACACTATATATATATACCCACTTCTTTCTCTCTCTCTTTATATATATTCTTATTCTTTATATACTCTCTCTCTCTCTCTCTCTCTCTCTCTCTCTCTCTCTCTATATATATATATATATATATATATATTCTTCTACAAGCAAGATACCCAATACTCAAAGCTGATTTCCTGGAATTAATATTCACCTTAGAGATATCTCAGCCTATAAAATTTGTGATCTTCATCCCGATTTAATTAATATTGCAATGTCTGTTTCCACAATTTCCTTAATGTTAGATTTTAAGATTATTGTTATTATTATTATTATTATTATTATTATTATTATTATTATTATTATTATTGCTAGAGTATTGTGAGAAAAGCTTGCGTTCTCCTCCCTTCCTGCATCTTTCTTTTCACAAACCAGCCGGGTCTATATTCTTCCCCAGGCGGAGGCAGACCAGCAAATTGGTATTACAAAGATAAACAATATATTTTTCAAAAGTAACTCAACACTGTTCATCGCTTTTCTGAGGTTGCTACAAAGACAGCAAAATGAAAGTGGGTACCAAAGATATCCTGCCTCAAGGACTTCTTTTTTTTTTCCTCCCCTTCTCTTTCCCTCCCTCTTTTCAGTTTCCTTTTCAAATTGCAGGGCCAACACCGTGAAATGTTCTGCAAATGAAATATTCACACACGACCTACCAGCTCCAAAAGTAGGCTTGCTGTCCTCCAAATAGTAATTCTAAGAGCAAGATCGACCTCCGATCTGACAACGCTGAGTTTGTTTTGTTTTTGTTCCTATTCAATCCAAAGTTATTATAATCCAAATCTATAAAGCCTAATTACGGAGGTGCTGTGCTTTCTTTTTTAAGGGAAAGGGCCTAAAAAGGAGGAGATGGGGTTGAGTGTCCCTGGAAGGAACCGGCTCGCGGGAAAAGGGGTGTCCGGAGAGACTTACTGTCTGCTTTCTTTCTCGAAGGGAAGAGAGAAGAAGAGGAGGAAGAAGAGCAAGTCCTCTGGGCGCTGGGCTCCTCCCGGCTCACACTTTCCCTGTCACTGCTTCCAGGAACCCAGGCATCTGCACTTGTATGCTCTTAAACTAATTTATGGTGGGAATTATATTTTGGCTTGTCAACTCTGGAGCCATAAAACAAAGTTTATTGGAATCACGTGCTTGGAAGGAGCCACTCAGGACCGATCTCGGCGGAACAATAAATAACCTCGAGCTTTAAACTTTTATTCGCTTAAATAAAGAGGGAGAGAAAGTAAGAAAGAAAGAGGCAGAGAAGGAGAAAAAAAAGGTGGGGGTAGGGAAGGGCCCTGTGTTCTCTGAGAGAATTTCAGGAGTCCAAAATAACAAGGTTCACGCAAAGGGCCCCCCTTATATATATATACATAGATGTGTGTCTGTGTTTAGGCCAGGCTTGGGAAATAGCTGCCCGAAGAAAGCGGCCCAGCTGGCTCCCCTTTAGTTACTTTTTGTGAGGAAAAGAGTTCCGTGTGAAATTCGCTCCGAGTGAGTACCAATTCAACGTTTATTGGGATGAATATGTATGGGGTGGAGAGAATAGAGGAGTGGGGAGGGAAGGAAGGGAAGAGCTCTCACTTAAACAATATTGTGAAAAGTCCAACTCGTTTTGGAGAGCTTTCCAACTTTCAACCTTTCTCTACCGTCCAGGTAATTGAGCTAGGTGCCTAGAAGGAGGATATAGGTATCCTACTGCTCTTCCAGACAAGCCCTACATCTCAGGATCCGATCCCAACATTTCTATTTATCTCGGATTATCTGGCAGTGCGGACTCATATAATCCGGTTTAAAACAAAAAACCTGGGCTCAGAACCTGGGATATAAGGCCTGTCTGAAAGGACCCCCAGTCTAAGGCCCCTTCCAGACAGGCCCTATATCCCAGGATCTGATCCCAGGTTTTCCCTTTATCTCAGATTATCTGGCAGTGGAGACTCATATAATCAGGTTTAAAGCAGAAAACCTGGGATCAGATCCTGGCATAGCCCTTTCCGGAAGAGTCCTTCCACACAACCCTATATCCCATAATATAAAGGCAGAAAATCCCACATTATCTGAGTGTGGACTCAGATAACCCAGTCCAAAGCAGATATTGTGGAATTTTCTAACTTGATATTCTGAGATATAGGGCTGTGTGGAAGAACCCAGACAATCTGGGGGGGGGGGGGGCAGGCTACCAGACAGGTCCTATATTGCAGGATCTGAGCCCAGGTTTTCTGTTTATCCCAGATTATCTGGCAATGCGGATTTATATAATCCAGTTTAAAGCAGAAAACCTGGAACCAGATCCTGGAATATAGGGCCTGTCTGGGAGGGCCCCCAGTCAGTCTCAGGGCCCTTCCATACAAGCCCTATATCACAGGATCTGATACCAAATTTTCTGTTTATCCCAGAATATCTGGCAGTGGGGACTCATATAATCTGGTTTAAAGCAGTAAACCTGGGATCAGATCCTGGGATATAGGGTCTATCTGGAAGGGTCGCTAGTTGGCTCAAAAAACATCTTCTAAGCCTGGGGTGCATATTTTTCCTCTTTGTAAAAAAAATCCCTGTTGTAAACCTTGTGGCTTGCTGTGCCCCCCAAGAACCTTTTTCTGCTTTCTAAACAACTGCTGCGAGTGTGTACCTCAAAAGAAAAACCTACACTGAAACCTCCATGATCCAGAGCAGTGATAGCCATGAGCTTGGTTTGAATGTTGGGCTAGGAATCAGTGGACTAGTAATCAGGGAGAGTAGGGTTTGAATCCATGCCCAGCCGTGAGGTTGGCCAAGTCACACTTTCTCAGCCTCAGAGGAAGGTATGGGCAGCTTTCCCCTCACAACGCTACCAAGAAAAATCACGTGATAAGGTCATCTTTAGGTCACCATGCGTAGGAAGGGACTGGAAGGCGCATAGTAACCATACCTTTTGGGAGGAGACACAAGAGAGGAAGACTATCTCTTCCAGCGTCCAGGGAAAAGACAATTGCTGACAGCGTGTCCTTCAGAAGAAAAGCTCTTAACTTGCACTGAAACCCCCAAGATCCGGAGCAGTGATAGCCATGAGTTTGTTGGAGTGGTTTGAGTTTTAGCTAGGAAACGGTACTTTGAGCAACCAGCGGTGCTGAGAGATGTAGTTTCTTCTACTTTCCTACAGGGCAGAAGGCTGGACTGGATGGCCTTGTGGTCTCTTCCAACTCTCCTACTTCTTGCCCTGCTTAGCAGCCTCAAAGAGGAGTGAGTTCTCAGAGGCAAGAGAGTGGGCAATCCGGACTTAAAGAAACAGCCATCCTCAAGGCCTCCTCGTCTGATGTGGGGCCCTCCCAAGTGACCAAACTGTTTCGAAGCCTATGAAGTTACAGGACTTGTGAAAGTGACAAAACAGGAGAAGTTGATTCGTGTTCCCTCCCCTGCTTCTCTTGCTCCTCCTCCCCTCTCAGACTTTGATAATTGAAACTTTAAGGAGGGTTATAAAATTAGGAAAGGAGTCTGGTGTGAAGGAAAGCCAGGAAGGGGCGCGAGGGAGAGAACAAGAGAAGGAGGGTGTTACTAAACCGAAGTGGCTTCATTATAAATCATAGGGATTCAAGGACCTTGGGAAGGACTCGCCTTTCCCCTGAAAAAAAATGCGGAGAATATTTTTTACTGTATTTATGAATGTGCTAAATGCGCCTCCAGTTGGGAAGGTCAATAGGAGATATTACCTAAGCTGGTGCCAACGGTATTACGAAGGAAAGAGCTGGGGGGGGGGGGGGGGGGGGGGGGGGGGAGAAACGCCTGTAATTTAAAAGCAGGAGGCAGAAAGGTTTGCATGGAGACTGAGGCGACCCCCCTCCTTCCTGCTTTCCACTCCTGTCACGTGAATCGATCTCATTACTCCTCCGACGTGATTTATGAAAATTCCTCCAGGAAGAGTGGATGAGTAGGTCGCTAGCTACAATATTTAACCTTAGCCTAAGAGGGAGAGAACCAGCGTCCCTATTTAGGACTTTCGCCCGAGATCAGGACGGAATACACTATAGTCAGGAAAGAACATCCACAGCCACGGGTCAATTTCACCCAATGGATGCACCTATGAACTGGAATATATGGCAGTATGGACTCAGATAACCCAGTTCAAAGCAACAGGTCAGCGGTTGGAATCAGAGAAAGAGGGTTGAGCTCCCTCTGTTAGCTCCAGCTCCTTATGAGGGACATGAGAGAAGCCTCCCACAAAGATGTTTTTTCATGTCAGGAACGACTTGAGAAACTACAAGTCGCTTCTGGTTTGAGAGAATTGGCTG